CTTTTCTTTCTAAGATAGAACCCCAACAGTAAACTGTTTGGGGAAAAACACAACAACACATAAAAGGAAACAACAAAGTACGGCTGAGCGTCCCTGGACGATGTGCGAGCTAAGAACCGACGAATGCCATGTGAAAAGAGCTTTTTGATGCCCTGGGCATCCATGTGAGTATGGACTGCATCAGCAGGCTTTCCGCAAAGCTCCCTGAACAGTGCAACCTGTAGCAGGGGTCTCATCAACTTGAACTTGAACTCATTATTACGTCTAACCTTTTTCTTAAACACACCCACATATACACTTGAGGGCTCCATTTTTTGAACCACCTCCCACCTCCCTCCGAATAACGCTGAGACAAAGTGCTTTGGGATTTGGTTGGACTGAGCAATACCACTCTGCCACCAGCTCCAACAGGGTAGGGTTCAAGGCCATCGCACGGACTGATGCAACACCAGTGGCATCTTTGGTAAGCCAGCGTGTGACATGCGGGTTCTCTTGGTCATGCATCCGCTGTCGAAGTGCCGGCTGCTGCTCCAAAAGAGTAGCAAGAGTGCCCTTGCCCAGGCGTGGATCTTCCCACACATTTGGTAGAGGCTGGGATTCGGGAGACAGCACTGGAGCGACCGACATGAACCCAACAGAAACTAGACAGGAAGTACAGAGCCCAAAAGTCTTCTTTGATTGAAGTTTCTCAGACACAAGCACTGGAGAGCATGCAGCATGGCACAGTACTGCATCAACTCTACTCTCTCTACTCGACTAGGTTTTTTGATTGAAGCATGCAAAGAAACGTCAGAAGGGGCACAAAATCTCATCACCGATGGCCAGGCCATGCGCTGACCGGCGCCGGATAGCTCCAAGCTTTGAAAAGGAGGTCAAAAGATGTCAAAAGAGTCTTGATGTGATGATCACTTGTGAGAGTGTGTACCATCAACACTTGAAGTTGTGCAACCAGTGAAGTAGACCTCCTGGGTTGGCCTGGTGACATGATGTCACTCTCTTGATCGATCAACGATGTGATAAAAGATAAAAAGGCTGGCCGCGCAAACCTTTGTCCACACAAAGATGTTGCTGGACGGCAGAGATAACCATGGTTCATTCAGCCTTGGAGAAATGGAAAAAAAAAACTGAAATCTCGAGAAACGCCGCCAAGCAAAAATATTAGTTCCTGATCTGAAAAAAGCAGTTTTGCTTGAAACAACTGAAAAAAGTAAGCATTAGGAGGTTGCAGGTATATATTATATATCGAAAGATCACATGATTTTACTATGCCGAGCTCAGTGTGCCGAGCTCGGTGTTACGCATGACACACATCAAATAAGGAAGGCCAAAGGAAAAATCCCCAGCGCAAATCACTACCCAATTCATTGCGATTGTAGTTTGTGTTTAAGAGCAACCAACTGGGCGTGATGGAAATTACAAACAGTGGTGAACACGATGTTGTTTAACCGGTTCAAAAATGAGGCATGAGTTGAAAAAGCCGGAAGCCCACATGAGGGAAAAACCGCAAACCACGTTGAAACCATCTGTCTGGCATCACGATCTGAATCTCTTCTTTCAACATGTGTGTGTAAACGTATCCGGCTCAAAGGAAAAGAACAAACCTCTCCAACCAGGCCAGCAAACAGTAACCAACAGCATGGCCACGGCCAATCTCAGAGATGACAGGCCAGCTCGCCCTCAACCCGATCCCACCCTCCTCCAAAGACATTTCACCCCACCACCCGATCCAGAGCCGGTCTTCTCCACTTCGGATCCCGGGCCGTTCTTCCTTGGCCCTCGAGCGCCACCGCTCTGAGACGTGCCTGAGCTGCACAAGCAAGAACAACCACGAGGCCAACAACGGCAAATCTGCAGGTAGACCCCCCCCAAAACCCTTCACAAAGAATAGTCAATTGGAAACGGGTATCATGTTGTTTATGTTTTTCCCGATGGGTGCATATTCCATCTGCTCCAGGATGGTTGTATCGTCTCTCAGAAGTTAGTTGGAAGCCCTATTTGCTGGAGGCAACACGATCTAAAAGGTGAACACATGATTAAATTTATTGGCCATATACAATATAGTCGTATAGATCAATATAGACTTCAGAGTTGATGGCATGAAACACCACTGATTGTATTTGGATGCCGTATCATCTCTCACTTTTTGCTGCAATCTACTCTGAAAATGACTACTTAGTCTCTATCTCTTCTTGCTAAGGAGGCTTTACACTGTCATCAAATACCAAATACTTTGTTAAATCTAGGCTTGAGGCCTTGCAAACCACAAGTGCAAATTGACATGGATCCACTCAGATCCAATACCCATCGTCACATCTTCATACCTGCGACCCTTGGATCTGGCTGCGGGTCGAGGATGAGCAAATCCATCTCCCGCTGCAAGGGCAACCTGGAGGAGCGGAAGCTCCCGTCCGGATGTCATGTTGTGTCTAGTCATATTTGTCAAAAGCCTTGAAACATCGCTGGTGAATATCTGACACATCATGTTGTTTTTGTTTAATTGGTTTTTAAAACCTAGTGGTTGAGCAATTGCCCTGTTTTGCAGAAGAAACACCTAACAGCGAACAACATATAATATTCCATGACAAAGCAAGGGCACTCAGAAAAGAGAAAAACAAAAACATGTTTGAGTCTCTTGATACATCAATACTTGTGCAAAAAGACAAGGAAATGATACCAGGTTCAGGGAAACAAAACGCAATAATTTTGGCCTAATCCAGTGGTTCTGGTACTAGATTTTCTTGCCACGTGAGGGACCTCAAACCGGGTTCCAACCACCCAACCCAACACAACTCCCGGCGGCACCCCTGCGGAGAAAAACAACATCTCCAGCGGAATGGGCCATTGGATCAGACTGGACCTTGGAAAAACCTTGATGTTGGAAACAACACAAGCAGATCAACTGGACCTTGGAAACAAAACCTTTCCACCTTGGATGTTGGACTCCGACCAGAAACCAGGTGGAAACCACACATGTTAACCAAACTTAGAGGATCCACGCAGGCACCGGGAGCGATCGAGGTTCTCTCGGGCGATCGAAGTATTCAAGCGATGACCTTCGAATGGGCCAAACGGGTTGGAAGAAAAACATGTTTCCCATAGTTCCTTCCAGAAGTTCTATATAAATAAATATATCAAATGCAACTTCGAGCCCATCAACATTCGAAGCATGTATCCCTAAACACTGACTTCCTCAGTATCCCTGAACAACAAAAGGGTAACAGTTTTCCACATGTTCTTGTTTGGTTATTTGGTGGGTTACCGGGTTGAGCCCATCCAGTATATAAGACTATATAGGACTTCTATATTCCATGTGCATATCTATTGCTGAGGTGAACCCTTCCAAAAGTTCTTCAAGTGAAATCAAGAATCACGACTCAGGTAGCTTTTCTTGCTGGCTTAAGATACAGTGCTTTCAGAGGACCAATGGCAAAGACCCCTAAGATGTCGGTGGTTAACATATGAAACCCCCATCTGTTCAGGACATCTTGGGGTGCCAGTGCCATTGGTCCTCTGAAACCACTGTATCTTAACGACACTTTTTGGGATATCCTTCAAGTCCACCAACGAATCACCGACTCTGGGTGCTCCAGGCTGCACCCGCGCAGCGACGTCCAGCTGAGCCTCGGTCCCCATTCGTGTATGATTGGGTCTATGCCAGGAGTGTACCATGATGGGTGTATATATCCTATATAACTGTAACAAAAGGTATATATACCTGGAACCCAACTGACCCCTGTTGTGATATGAAAAGGCGATATTTTGGGTGGTTGGTGGTCCAAACTAGAGGTTATTCAGGTTCTAGGTGGTATATATATATATATATATGTCCTTCTACTCTTATATTCTGTTTGTTTGGGTATAGTCCAGTGGATGATGGTTAGTAAAGATCGTAAAGACCGATGTTCTCTCCACGGTGATCATCTCCAAAAATTCTACTTAATTATATGATATATTATGTTGTGTGTTTGTTTATTTGCCCAACCAACTCCAAGCCCAAACATGTGAACGAGCATCACAAGTATATGTGTTTGTTGATGAGATTGTATGATTGCCTCATTATTCAGCAATCAAACATGACATGTGATGAGATGTACTTTGTTTATGGTGTGTGTGCTTCTTTTTAAACATGACTTTGGAACTTGTACCTTGACAGTGTTGGGAAGGTTCTTTGACAGACGTGCTTCGCACATTAAGAAAACACATCTTAGAGCTTGATCTGTGCGCTCCAAATCTGCGCGCAAGCTGCGAGAGAAGCATCTTGTGTCCTCAAAAGCACCTGTTTCCTTGCATTCTGGATTGCCTGGATGCCCTGTGTAACGGTTCTTTGCGACGCAAGACATACACTCCACACACGAGGGGCCGACGAAGGGGCCGACGAAGGGGCGTCTCTTCATTGGTGAGCAAGTAGCTTGATACTAGCATAAGTGTATCTTTACAGCAAAGTATAGTAGCAATTGGTGTATATGTGCCTTCTTAAATCTTCTCAATCATATTTATCCCTCAAAGCTGCTGGTGGATCAATTTGAAAACGCCAATCAACTTGAACCGAAGCTGGTGAGACGCTGAAGAATTTGGATCACACAAAGAGAAACGAGGCCAGGGTTTGCACCAAAGAGGTTTGGGCTTCCCGGCACTCAGGCGTTCCAGCAAGTCCTGCGAGACGGCTGGAAGTGAACCCCTGGGCCCATGAGAACAGGCGAACTTATCTCAAAGATGGATAGCAGAATGACTAGAGATGACTAGGCTTGTTGTAACATCCGCTGGTGGCACAATCGTTTCTTTCATGAAGAGTAAACTCGTGTTGGGGGCTCAGAGTTCCAAACTTGAACGGGTTACTGCATACCATCTAAAACCTGCACCTGCAGACGATTCATCGTAGAGGGATCAAAAGGGCTCGAGGCTGTAAACTTCTTCCCAACACATCCAGAGCAAGTCCCCAGTCCATATGTAATGATGATTTCTCGCCAAGTCTTTCCACTAAACCACTAAAACCTACACCATACCATATACAAACAACTGATGAGAGCACTTGCCTGTTGGTTAATACGCAAATCCCTTATGAACCAAAGGGGCTACAGTCCATGGTACCTCACCTGCAGATCCCCTTGGAGGGAGCCAACCACGACAACGGTGAAAACCGTAGGTGAACCACTCACCTCCCCCTGAAGTTATTGGACAAGAATCACTATGGTTTTCGAAACAATAAATCATTATTGAGGAGCCTTATTTGCATTTATATGCCACTTGATACCTAAAATGTCCCCTCCAGATTGAAGGTGTTTGAGGACCCACACCAAACGGCTTGGCCCGAGGTCGTAAACTCCTCTACCGACCTACACTCTCGGCGCGGTAGTTGGTCCTACCATCCGTACATTTCTTCACCCCCCCGGGTACTTCGGGTACCCTACGCGATCCCCTTTTTGGTAATTGGAGGTCACGAACGGCCTGGTTTGAGGGTCACTGGGTCGAGTTCAAATCCGGTCACGAATCGTGAAGAAACTGGGCCGGTAGCACTTAGTGGCTGGCTGGTTTCAGAGTAGATGGGCACAAACAGGTTCGGAAGTGTGATAGGACATGAGGTCAACTTGCATTTCCAATGCATTTCCCAAACATTTCCTGTTTTTATATGCATATGGGGTCCATATAAACTATGGGGCATTGTGCCATTGGTCCTCTATTGGTCGAAGGGTTTCAATTCACCATCCATCAACTGCTTTTCAGGCTTCCCACTTCACCGGCCTTGCTTCCTGGCAAGGCTCGCCTGGAAGCCTCCCCACGTGTGAAGCGTCGAGTTCGACCAAGAACCACAGGCTTCACCATGCCATCTTGGGTTGCTGGGCCAAAACCACAGGCGAGCCCACAGGTGCCACAGTTGATCACAACTTCCAAGCCCTGTGGGTCACCCATGGACTCTGTGTTTCCCTGTTGTTCACCAAGCAGTTCGACCACCATCCAATCTGGCCTAACTTGGCCTAACTTACGGGTTTCTCACTCACTGAGGATCACCTGGGATGTGGGCACCATAGTATGCAGCGACGGCAGCGACACCACGAAGCGTTCGTCCCGGTGCGTCCCGGTTCGTCCGGGCTTCCGTGGGACGATCAGGCGCCGCTTAGGGACCGAAACAGGAGGGTGGAACCTCGCCACCGATGGTCTGTTCCCACAACAACAATGGGTCTGTTCCCACAATGCGACGCGTTGTGTTTTTCTTTGGTGCCAACCACGAAACATCTCTTGAGTGGCCCTGGGCCACGCAAATATACGAAACCGTAAACGTATGCACCACGTATCTTCCCTGGCGTAGAAAGCGAGCAAGCTTTGGAGGTCGCTGGGATGCAAACATACACATCTTGCGGCTCGCCCGCCCTTCCCATCTTGCCATCCTCCACACCCTTCATGCGCAGGCAGGAAAAAGCAAAACACTCTTTTCCTAGACCAAACCAAACTGTTCGGCATAGCCATTCAGCTGCGATCGGCTGATCACTGCCTCGGCGAGTAGGAGAAACAAAAGAAGGCACGCGCGCCTTTGGAGAAAGATTATATAGTTCAATTATTGTGTCATGGATCGATAACTTTTGCATGGGTTGGGTATACTGTTGCGAAAAAAGAAAGTTAAAGGATGTTCAATTCAGAAGTGGATTGTCAGCCAAAACACGTCTGTTTCTTGTCCTGCTTGGAGCAATTCAGAAGATCGTTTCCAGGGATTCCCACAAAATCGTCTCATGTCTTTGGAGGTTTGTTGTGCCGCAGTTCTGCATTTGCTGCATTCCGTGCACCCGCAGTGCCGCAGTCAAAATTGCTGCTGTGGCGGCTTTCATTGATGTCTGCCGGCAACGATGATGATTTTGCCACTGCCAGTTGTATGCTTAGGTGCTTAATGCAGAACAGTGCGATACGATGATTACTACTTTGCTAATCCTATGTGGTGCACAGTATGCAAATGATGCGAACTTGTCTGAGAAGGACGGTCTTATCAGTCTTAAACACTCTTCTTCTTAGCTGTCTTATTGTCTGAAGCGCTTTGGTTTCTCATTCATGAAGCGCTTGGGCTCTACGTTTCACCTTGTAAGACTCTCAGGTTTCACCTTGTCAGACTTGCATTCCGTTTTCCTCTTCTCCACGTTGGCCGAGTGCCTCTCACTCAAAACATCTCTAGCCTTCTGGAAACGATCTGGTCCTGCAAGTTCGGGGCAGAATCGATGGCAGTGTTTGGTGCTTTTTATACTGTCAAGTGATTGTTTTTTACTGTTATGAATGAGCCTGAGTCTGCGGAGTCAAGATTGGCTCAATACCGAAAAAGGAAGTGGTGTTGGCCGACATGGAGTGGTGCACGGTGCGAAGAAAACCAAAAAACTCCCCCCCCACCTTCAAAAGTCGATTCATATAGCATTTGTCGGAATTGTAAATGTTCTATGTTCCCAATATCCCCAATAATTCGCTCAAGTATGCTCAAGTAGGTTTCTACATGTTTCTACTTTCCACCAATGACCTCCCAACATCGGCGGAGGCCCAGCTTTCCGCCTGTCACGCGAGCTTGACACGGCACACATCGTCTCACGTCAAGGCACTCCACCACAGAGTTGAAGCACCACACGCTTCATGCCCTCCAGTGCAGGAGACTTCTCGGTCACCGCGGCAATGGCCTTGAAATGAACCAGGTTGGTCAGTGACCAACCGAGAAAAGCGGGGGGGGGGGGTTCAAGAACATGAAGACAAAGAACACGGTGAGTATATGGTGACCCCCATTTTTGGGATAGGTCCAGAACTAGAGAAGACGGAAGACCAACAGGTTGATTGTAAGAAATGTGATCCTCACCATTTCAAACTTGACGAGCTAACCAACTCGTGGAGCCGAAGATGATTCCAAGACTTTCTATGTGAAATCCTACCAGTCACTATAGCCATTATGATTGAAACAGATTCACCATGATTCACTCCACATACTCTTGACACAATTGACCTAAATGGCTGCATTCACAGAAAATATTGCCAGTTGAATTCACTTGACCCAAATTTCATATGGCTGGATCAAATATGCCCATGCACATATTTGTCCATTCACGAAAAACATGTCTACAGCTTCCACATCTGGGACGATCCCATCGAGCCAGCGGCTATCTGTCTCGACGGAAGAATGGTGCAACCGTGGAAGAATCGCTGACCGATGCCACTCCTGTGGTCAGATTTTAGAGAATATATGACAGTCATCTGTAGGACCAAATGTCTATAGTATTAGAACAATTTTAGAACAACTCTCTGGCTGTTGATACGGAAATCAAGGCCACCAGAATCATTCCAGTCCAAACCTGCATCCAATCCCATGCGATTCCATGCAAAAAAAACAAAGAAAACTGGGACTCGTGGGACTTTATGAACTATATCACCTCTTCAACTCACTCCGACTCCATCAAGTGATGTTAACTGAAGGCATTTTGTATGGATCCACTGGCACCAAGCCAGGTCGAGGTAGAAATTTGTGGTCATATGGTAGGCACCTCAAGAGTCGGTGGCCAGTCATACGGAACCAGGTCGGTAGCCGGTGGATCCGTTTCAAGTGGAGCAACCAAAAGGTCGGACTTCCTGGCGCAGCTTTTCTCCCGTCCTGACTTCAGAAGTTCGGTCAGTTCCTTCCTCCGATGGCCGTCGGCCTTTCAAAACGCGGAGTCGCGCAGGGAGTCTTGTGATCGTTTTCCAAGACGCTCCAAACTAACAGCTCTTTGGTTGAACAAAAAACACCTATACCAGGAGTCCGGACCCTCCAAGTCCGGTGGGTTTTTGGGACACCCCTGGCTTAACCTCTATAAGAGGCTATATATGTACCATCTTGGTGTCGGTCACTGGGGGATTGATTCGGGAGTCCAGACCCGTTCGGGTCCACAGGTCCCTGGCCGCGTCGTCGGGTGGTTCGTTCTTTGGTTTGAAACGGTTCAACCGAGAGACTGCGCCGCAGGCTGGCTCCACCAGCATCCGGTGCTCATCAGCCAACCTGGCCAGCGAAAGAAGGTCACGTTCACAGATTCACGGATAAACTTTGTGGTGAGTCTGGGGTGATTACGTGGATGGAAGCAAGAGGTGTTGTGCTATGTTGTATCTTGCGTGTGTTTTTGTTTACGCTTTTGAAGTTTGATTTGATTTAGCTATGAGGTTGTATATACATGGTTGTCAGACTAGCACAGATTGACAACCAGTTTGCTTTTGGATATCATATGTTTACAATTGGATTTAGTCTCATCATAATGCAAGATCACTATGAACCTTTGTAGATTGATAGACATATAATGCTACATAAGAATGTTGCGGAGACAGGAATATATAACCATTCAGAACACATTTCCGGGACCAAGTTTACTGTGGTACTCTCGGTGGTTGTTTCGATTGAACAGGTTGAAATACACTATATAGTGTTTGTTGTGATGCGATGCAATGCATCGGTTGTGCAGCAAAAAGGGGTTCTTTATAGTTGTTCCAACCTTGCACCCAACAGCAAAAACAACAATTAACAATGTTTAACATGTTACAACATCGATAATATGTTAGGACAATACTACGTACCGATGCATGATCGACAAAAAGCCACACAGCTGTGACTGCATGTTATAGCCGTTCTCGATGCTGACTCGTTCAACTTGTTCAACCTGTACATGTCGACTCTAAAGGATCGACCCAGAGGCTCCAAACAGCTCTTGGTCCCTCAAATTCAGGGATTTGAGGGTCTACTTAGGAGGGTCCGGACCCCTACTGAACGGAGGGTCCAGGGTCGCGTCTGGGCAAACAAACTCTCTTTCTGACTGGATGGGCCCTCTTCGAACGAGGCGCCGAACGACGCGCGTTGGTGCCAGCATTGAACGTCCGAAAATGGCCGTGTCCGAGGTCCCCGACGGGTTTTCATGTGAAACACCGAGCCCAACGGAGCCAACCGTCCCGTGGATCATCGATCATCCGCCCACCCAGACACGACCGCCATCTGGGACTGCCAGTCCGGACTGCCTTCAAAACGGCCAGGGGTGGTGGGTTTGAGGGGTCAATGGGGCGGCCTATATGGCAGTCCCATGGAGTGTCTGGGTAAACTTATTGAAATAATGATGGAAACTGTGACTGTCACGAGCACACTCTGTGCGTGCTGTTGTGCTCCAGCGTGCACTGTGGAGCACGTACACGTGCGCGGTCAGTGGGTTGTCGAGTGCACGGTCAGAACGGCGACGTCTGTCTGAGATCGAAGAGGATCTATTCTCTCTCCGGTTTGGCGTCTAAGCCTGGTCCGAGATCATGTTCTCGTCTTAAGACATCTTTTTAAATGATGGGGTCGGTCTACAACTGAATGGCTTGAGAACATCCTCGCAAATTGATGCTGAAACCTTGACATTCATCCTGGCCCATCCTCCGTGCAGGATTGCTTGGCCGATCACATCCGCTCCTCGACTTCATACCCTGTGCACTTGGATCCTCAAGGCCCTGCACTCTCCTCAATCGGATGGTATATCGAACCCACATGTCTCACCTCTCTCAAGGTCGCAAATGATCCAACTTGGGACTCGATCAGGCTTCGCATCAGTGCTGCGTTCTCGGGTTGACGAGTCTGAGCAATTCCTCCACACAAACCAAAGGGTACACACTCTCTGAAATCGTCATGGAAGTGAGTTCACCACCTGCTTGGTATTCAGGAAAAAATAGGAAATCATTTCAGGGCCATGCCATCCAGGTTACCATGAAGAGCTCTAGAGAGTGTACCTTTGGAGCTGCTTCCGCGAGGCTCTGCCTAAGCCGATGGTTGAAATTTGAACGGAAGCCGTTCACATGTCCATACCCTTCCCATAGTCTCCGCACAACACGTCGGTTTAAATAGTTTGTTTACGCCCCTCCATGCAAGAGATTTCGTGCGAGATTGAACTGAAGGCTGCAACTGTTGTGTCTGTTTAGGTGTAATTACCACCCACATCCATGGGGTTCCAAATCTTGTCCATGTCAGAGTTTCTTGGTCCCAGCGAATGTGTAAGGCACTTTCGCAGGGACACATGCCTGCTAGCATCTCTGAAACGTCACACCTTCTTCTTCCCTTGGCAAACCAAAGAAAGGTTTCGACAAAAGGATACAAAAGGTGCCAAAGTCTCTCCCACAGAGTCCTTTTCCTTGGTCGACTGTATGTCACCTCCCCTACACAGCTGTTTAGCATCTCGAATGGTGCAACGGTGTCTTCCAACTCCAAACTCAAACTTATGCTTCTTCTCAGAAAATGATTCGGTCTGGGTGACCAAGTCAGGTCGTTTTTGCTGCCTTCTGAAGTACCTAGAACCCTGTCACCCTTGCCTTACCACGCCATCCGCCCTTGGACGCCCAAGGAGTGGTTCCCTCAGGCCGGCCTCAAGCACGCGGAGACGGCCTCGCAGTTCATCGGCAAAACACGAAAACGCCACTGCATGGCGATGCTGGCAGCCTTTTCAAATCCATGTCACATGCAAACTCTGAAGGGGTTCAAAAGAAAGGCCCAAAAACCACTGCCAGATGTCCACTCACAAGTCAGTCCATGGGACAGTCCTACGCGACAGAAGATCAACCTTGAGGATCCCCAAACCACGGCACGCAAAGCACATCTTCACATCATCTACTGTTCGAACGGTCCCGGTGTCCTTCTCGAACGAACGGCGGGGAAAAAACGTGAAGACTTGGCCCTGGGGCACTGGATGCTCGCGCGGTGTTCATGGAAGACCGTTCGTTTTTTGGGTTCTGGAAGACCCCGGGAGCACTTTCGGATGCGCAGTCACTTCAAGACTCACAACCCACCTGGACACAGGTCACCCAATATCACCCAATCCTTTTGTTGGGCGGACCAGTGGGTGGAATTTCTGAAGATCGCTGATCGCCTCCGATCTGCTGAAGCTCTCAATTTGGCCCTAAGATCTGACGGTTTGTCCCAGGTCTTGTGCTGAGATCCCTACAGCTCAGTACATCATTGGACGTGGACGTGGTCATAGAACACTACTGAAGGAGGTACAGGAGACTGGACCTGGGTTTCTGGACTTCTATGGTATAGGTTGTGAAATATCAAAAAACAAGAACATCTACCAAGTATCGTTCATCGCACGACGCTGGTGCCAGAAAGACTACAAGGCCACCTGGCTACTCCGTGGAGGACATTACGATAGAACCTCGAATCAGCCCACCCTGATAGGGAAAAACATGGAAAACAATTTATTCTATGTTTAAGAAGACCGGGTAGGTGTGTATTCAAATAGGGAGACCTCCCTGATTGAAATTCCGGAAGAAGGAAAACCGACCAGTCTAACCGTTGGTTGGGGGATGTTGGGGGTCTCCCTATTAAGATGCACACCTGTGTAAGTGTGTGTATTCTTTCAAGGTCCCTCGAGTCAAATGCCTGACCCCGGGCCCCAACCATCCTGGTGATTCGATCAGCACCCCAACCAGTTTCCCCAGTCCAGCTGGGAATGCTTCCTTCTCGAGTTCCATCATCAACAACGGTTCGCCACCCGCCACCCGCCGCGAGGCCGCCTGCGCATCGCTAAAGGTCACCGAACGGAAGTGCTCAGGGCCCAACTGGATGCAGCGCTGGAACACGGCCTGGCTCACCAGGATGCGACATGAACATCCAACGGATCGGATTGAACAGCTCCATGAAGGCAAGCCCAATGTCTAAGCCCACCTCATCCTATACCCACAATATATGGATAGTTCTAAATGCGCATGTGTGGCTTTCCAAAAGCCTCAGCAGAAACACACTCCATTAGTGCTCTAAGTACCTCCTCTGCAGGTCCTCCCTCCAAGACCCAGACCCTCCAAAACCCTCCCAAACCCCCCAAAACACCTTCGAAACGGGACGCCGCTGAAGTCGCGTCCAGATCCCATCGGGCCCATCAGCCTCACTCGGCCGCAAGGCGCCTAAGGACTTGGCGATCCTCGAGTCGGTTGGCGGCGAGCTCAGATCCCGACGTGGGGTACGGTGGAGGTGAACAATAGTCCTTAAAAAAGAGAGAAACTATAGTGTCAAAGACGCTCAATGCCACGTGGGGGTCTTTTCAGCCTATAGCTTTCGCCGCCGCCTGAAAGCGGCTCTTCAGGGCTAAATGCTGCACGGATGGCGATTTAAACACCACTATAGACCTCTGGATGGACTCCGACCACTACACCACTACACCTGTTCACCTCCACCACCACGACCTCTGGATTTAAAAGCACCCCCAATGTGTCGGAGAACCCGCCTCCCACCTGGGTTTTCACACCTGTCGACCCGTCAACCAGACAGGTTTTTCGTCGACGTGACTCAGCGGCGGGTTCGCCCTTGGCGCTGCCGCGCTTCGCTTTGGGGGCGAATGACCAGTCGACGCCGTCGTTTTCACGCCACTCGAAACGACATGGGTTAGCTAGGCGAACGTCGTATACTTTACGCCGCTCGGAAGTTGCCAAAGTCGGACCTGAGAAACAGCTGCGACACATTTGGGCCGTGCACGAGCTCGTTTTGAGGGTGTTTTGAGGAGTGGTCGCGAGCTTTGAGGTGTTCACCCCCAAAAGAACCCATGCATCGCAAACCAGTCTAGTCTGAGTAGCAATTGCTGACGGTCAAAGTGGACTTTGATCTGAGCTGCTCAAAATTGAGTCCACCAAGCCTTCAAAAGGCTGCCTTGAACAGCTAACCATCCCTCACCATGGATCATCTTGGACAAGGTACTTATATATCTGCAGATTGCACCTACAATCTCCGGCAAAACCAGCCATTCTGGTCGAGGTCATGTTTGCAATTTTCCCAGTGGCGACATATGGTTGTGGGTCATGGCACCAGGATACCAAGCAGTGTGGTAAGGCGCTGGGCCAGGGCTCCCAGGTTGACCCATCCTCATACATATCGTTTTGGGCTAATGGAAACCGTGGTTGATAAACATATACCCTATACAGGTCAAATCGACCTCATTTTACTGGACATGGTCATACAATAACACTACTTGAGGAGGTCAAAGACCCCTTTTTACAGGGTCTTTGGACTTGTAAGGTATAAAAATCATCGTGTGCCTCTACTTGCGGTGGTCGTCAATTTCTCACAATTGATCTATTTTGTGTCAAAAAGAACCGGCCCAAACGACCTGACTATAGATCCTCCAAACGGTACCAGCCAAAAGGCGTCGTTTCCTTGGTGCGACTTCTTCAGAAAACGCTTCCCCAATGCAAATTCTGATACAGCTCTTTCAGAGGACCAATGGCACCGGCACCTACTCTGACTACAACAAATTGAAGTCGTCTTTGGTGCGAACAAAAACACACCAGTGCCCATTCTAGAGAGGTTCGTGAAAAAAAACCTCCGACTTCCACGGGAGTACCCAAGTGGGATACATCGTCTTAACCGCAAGCTGGTTAGGTTCACCGTTCACCTTGAAGGCAACCCGAATCGGTGCGGTTCGCTTCTTTAGCGGAAACCCCTTGGGTCCCAGGAGCGACGTGATCTGCGGCAGCGTTTGAAGCTCCCGCGCCGCCAACGACTGGCCTCGGGGTGGGCGAAGGCCAAGGCGAAGGCAGCCGCTGTCAATACGGCGGCTTTTGCAAAGGAAAAGGCTGGATGGGGTTGGGCAAACAATGTAGGAATATCAGAATATATCGCCTTATATATTGCCTTAATAAGGGTCGGGTGGTTTTTTTCTTATGCTTTTTCTTTGAAAGCGCTTGGTCATCTGGGCTGTGAGGGCATCACATCAATAATGTAACGGGTAAAACCTACACAACTAATCTTCTTGGAGAATGCTGAACATTCCCTCTTATTTATTCTCGACCCTGACCATAGGAAGGTCCAAAGATACATGACGCATGACCAAAGTGACCAAACCCATCAAAATGAATCTCAACCTGCTTCTATTCTTCACTTTCCAGCTTGATTGACTCCAGTCGCCGCACACGATGATGATCGAGTCACAGCACGCGGCTCGCTCAGCTCGTTCAAACCAGCACCCGTACTGGCAGGTCACTATAATGGACTCGACCTTTACCCCCAAGCAAGCAAACTAACATGGAACCTGAGAATTGACCGGTGGAAGATGTCTACAATTGTCTACAACCAGGGAGTATACGCATGCCCTTTTCCAACCGAACCTTCACCTCTTCAGGGAAGTCGGGTGCCGTGATAGATCCACAAACCCGCATGACTTGGCCGCCTGATCGCTCTCGTACGATCCACGGAGCCGGCCCCGAGCTGCTTCGGTACCGACACAACGGACCAGACGTGACTTGGCAACCGGCCAATCACGTCGAACACATCACCGTACCTGAGGTTCGGTACGTACTGGATCTTTAGGGTGATTCAAAGATACCGGGATCATCCGGAGACTTTCTCCGGAGTCAGGTTTCCATTTGCGGGGCCCTTGGCACACCCCTTCTAACCCTAAGAACATCAGGACTTTGGACATACAGAAGTCCAACTCCACAAACACTGCGCCCAACTCACCCGCCGAAGTACCGAACTCTTTGTCACAAGTGACTCAAGCAATTGGCGCCCTCTGTCTCACACGCCACCACTCGACAAGAGGAAGACCTTGGCGGACGACCAACGACGACCGTTTTCGATACAGATCTGGGCAGCTTCTCGTAGTGAGGTTCATTGGTGGGTTGCCAAGCCCTCGCAATTCCTTGTTGCCAGTGGACAAGTTGCAGCCCACGCCAGAGGTTCCGAAGCACTTCAATTCAAGCTCAAAGCGAACAAACCAACCAACCAAGAGAGGTTAAGTGACCCTATAGCCTATCCCATATATATGTACCCCAGTAAGGTCCTATAAGGTCACTTAACCTCTCTTGGAACACCTGAGTCTCATAGCTCGCTTAGTGGAAGGTTCTCCAAACATCCTCAGCCGACCTCATGCACCTGACGTCGTGCCTCTCCAGAATCCGCTCGCACAAGATCCAAACAAACGTCATTTCGACATACTTAGTTCCGCACTTCGATCTGCTTGAGAACTTTCATGAACTCTAGAGGGAGGAACCCAAACCATCAACAAAACCAACGTTCCAACGGGACTAGAAGCAGGGGAGCGAGCAGGTCTGGAGCTATAAAATCCACAGAAGATGGCAGAAATCCTTTTGATCCTTTGCAGATGTTGTTTGGTTCCCAAACGCTCCGTGTTTCACATTGTTTCACACGCCCTTTCCTGGATCCGACTGGTCCCGAACCAGTCCCCCGAGCTCCTCGGGATTGGTGAGAAACCGTCCGACCCCTGACCCAAGGATTCCGGTCCGACCCCTTCATCGGGTTCGGGTCCATGAGCGTTTGGGTTGTTCCTAAAGTGGGCAATGGCCAGTAGTTGTTCGAACAACAATAAAGATGCCAACTGCTTTGAGCAAACTATACTCCCCCATTCCAACAAAATGGAAGTGCGAACAACGAAGACAAAACCATGTACAGGATGCTTTCCGGAAAAACCACAACATCAATGAATACAAGTTTCATCCATTTTCAGATCCATAGAATGCAAGGTTGGAGGCCACTCGGAGGCCATCGCTGGTGGGTTGGAGGCCATGGCTCTTAGGTTGGAGGCCATCGTTCTCCACTCCCACACAGCCGACCAGCTGCCCGTCCCACTCCCCTCAAGCTCCCGGGCCATCCGACAGCCTGCGAAGGCGGGCCACAAGTTGGACATGTAGGATATTGACTACTATGATGTTTATAACCTCTTCATATGGGTATTCAAAATCCTACCAAGATCACCAAAATATAGGACCCAATACTTGGGATTCCAACAGCTCTTCATCTGGGTGATGAAATTGAATCAAGATCCAACATGACAGTTCCCTGGAAACCACTCCCTGGTCCCTTTTTGGGAGACGACCGAACCCGACCAAGTAGGCGGTGATTGAGTCAGAGGTGTCAATCCACTCCCTCCAACAATCACATGGCAGCAAAAGGAAAATTCCTTGGAAGATCATGAAGATCTCTAGAAATCAGGATGTTTCTTGTTTATGATTTATTACACCAAGTGTAGGTGCCAACTGTTCAGGCCTACGACGCCAAAAAGATTCCACTTTTGACACTTTGCACTGCTTCGAAAGCCTTACAACCTTATGCAAGGGCCACAGGGGCCCTAAAATCCGCCCACCTCACGAGCTTCAAGGCCGGCAAATCCCCATTCTCAAACTGACGCCAACGGGAATGAGGCTGGCAGGACTGAAAACAATCCGTTTTTTTGGGGGTGGAACTGCTCGAATCTTCCCTACACCATAGGCACCAAGAGAGGTTCCAAGACTGAAATTACTGATTGGTGCAGTAGGAAATGAGGGAACGACCCTTATATTACAATAAATTATAATTAGAATGCATTGTTCTCATTCCTTACTAAGCACCAGTCAGAATATGGTGACACCGCATTCTCATATCATATCCAAACCGGATAAGTTATGGCTTGGTATTCCCAAACCTGCAAACAAGTCATGATCCCCATACGCCCCATCGAAGCAATGCCATTCAACTTCAGGAACTTTGGCAAACCAACTGGTCACACTATAGGACACTCATGTGTCAAGATCCCTTTTGGGTTGTTTGGAATCTCTGTAAGAGTCGATTCCGGTCAGATGCCCAACCAAAGACCTTCACTATCTTCATGGTCTACACTCCCCAAAAGTGGCCACCCTCCCACCTCCCACACCATTCCGCGATATAAATGCATTTTAGAGTGACCTGTGGGATCCGCTCCGGCACGGTCCCCGGTCCCCTCAAAACGGTTCGCCTCCAGCCCTTTGAAGATGCCCATGAGCAAACCGCCGCCACCTGCGACTGGAACACCGGACTTCCCACCGGACTTCCTTCGCACCGTCCCTTCGCACCGAGCGGGCCGTGGGAGGCCGACGACGCTCAACCAACAACTCCGGTCGACGCGACCGCCATCTGGGACTGCCAGTCCGGACTGCCTTCAAGTTACGGCCGTTCAGGGTGGTACCAGGGGGGGGGTCTGTCTGGGGCAGTCCGGACTGGCAGTCCCAGATGGCGGTCGCGGTCGCGTCTAGGACGATCGAAAAGGGACGGGAGCGCCGACCACCCACGGGTCCCCGGGTCGATCTGACTTCGGTTCCACGCCGCGTGGAACGGTCGCGTGGAACGGTCGCGGTCTCTTCTCATCGACGTCCGACAAACAGACTCGATAGGATGGGAGCGGGTGGCACTTACTAAGCACTATACTAAGCACCAAGCAAAATGATTAACAGGTTCATGGACTGAGATGCCGATGAATGGGGGTGAAGTAAGAAAGACATAGATTGGCTTTGAAGGTACAACCAGTCAAAGATGCGAAGCTGCAGCAACTTCATATCAGTTAAAGTCCAAATACACTAAAGCTTCACCACAACACACCGAGACTCAGAACCTTTCAATTACACTCCGACTTACCATGCGCATGTGTACAGCAATACTAGTCGTCTCAAGGGCCAGGGACGACACACTTCCATCGACTTCCATCCCCAGGGCTCCTGGCCCACCTCCGTTTCGAAGATGGGCCAGGGGAGGAAGGTCTGGGGGGAGGCAACCGCCGAACCTGAGGAGATGGGGTTTGGAGCCCTAGGGCATGTTAGGGAGGTTAAGATACACGTGTCCAAACGATTTCTTTCCAAGGCCCCAAGGCATGAGACAAGATGCGCGGCCTACGCATGTGACGATGGCATCTGGGGCTGATGGCAACTGGCGCTGAAGCTCCTGCGATGGGATTCTCACCACTCGCGTCTGGCGAGAAGATTCTGTTTGGAATAACAATTTTTGATATCTCAAGTTAGAAACTCATATATAGGGATTCTGTGTCCCATTGTCTTGGACCAACATTTGCTGACCAAACTTGTCAACTTTTGTAGTTTGCGACACCAAAGCTGTCGGGAACCCTGCAAGAAGTCCGGGTGACCAGCAGTCGCTGATGCGATACAAACAGGTCACTCCTCTTAAAGAGCCACGAAAGAAAGACTTCGATGTGAATGATGGGCTATAGCCATAGCGATCCAAGTTTCAATAAACTGACGTAGGAAAGTAATTTATTATTGAGTGGATGTTCTGTTTTACCTTCCTACAAAGGTGTTGGCAACCACTGACCGATACAAGCTGAGAAACGCAAGGAAAGTAGTGACTGCTGGGCTGCTGGCTGCCGCAAAGCAAAGGGCACGAACATGTGATGATGCCCATTTTAGAGGGTGGTCCCCTTGTTCTCCGCTTCTGTGCTGATTCCAGTTCCTTCTGAAAGACGGCTTTCCCAAACATTGAGGTTAGCTAAGGCAGCTAAGGCAATTGAACAGGATGTTTGTAGGGCAGTCGTAACAGACCTATGGCCCTTCGATGGCCGAAGAACTTGGCCATGAAGAGAATGAGGTCTCGGTCTCTGGGTTGAAATTCCCCCTGGAAACACCCTCAAAGCAAGCCAAACAATGGGCACAAGGACAAGTTTTAACATATATGGCCATGTCCTATTTTCTACGGTACTTTGGAGGGTCCCAGGTAGTTTCAACCAAAAAAGTAAACTCGGGGGGAAACATCCTGAAGGCCTCTGGACCGAAGAACCTTTTTGAAGCAAAACATGAACACATCAGCAGTTTTACACGGTAACCAAGCAGGTGTCCTGGAAACATTTAGGGGAGTTCCAACAACAGCAAGGATATCAACACACAACTTTCACTTTCACTAGCGCACAGTGCGTTGTCGCGCAGCGCCTTGGCTGTAGTATTAGTGAATTCCATGCAAGGCAAGACAGTCGGGTTAAAATCAGGGCCGAAGAACTTGTCCGAGTCCTCTTCGGTAACAATGAGGTCTTTGACCCATGCAGCGTCCTCATTGAAAGCTCGTACCTGTTCTTCGGCTTGCCTATGCAGCCACTTTTGAAGCCACGTATCAAAAGTGGCTGCTATGAGCGTGCATAGATCGGCTGGGTACTCCTTTAAAGAGCTGGTCTTCCAGCCCCAGCTATCCAAGCCAATACTTGATGCATCTGGGAGGGGAGTAGTACGATATTCGACTTCGAGCCGCTTCGCGGCGTCCTCCTCCACCCCTGCTAAAAGGAAAGTCGTAGGTTTACGGCTTTTCGCACCAAAGTGGCCCTGTTGGCATGTCAAGAAACAAAAAAGAAAAGTCTCTCTCAGCCAGCGCATCACTTCGGTAGACCATATGCTTGCTGCATCTGGCTTATGGGCCCGAAAAGATTTAGGATCTGCAGGATGTTCCAACAGGCCGTATGCACCGTTAGTCGCCTGTAAGACCATCATCTTCAGGGAGAATCCCATCAGCGTGTTGCCAACAAGAACTTGAACGAACTCTTTCCTTGACAGGTCAGGCATGCACCACACACTCCAGGCCTTGCGGAGCGGCCGGGGAGGCCTTTTCATCGTACCCGCTGGGAGCTCAACATCCCGGGCTGCACTCCATGTTTCACATGGTGGGCCGGTCACTAGCCCGGCCACGTACTGCTCCATCGGCTGCGAGCTTCAACCAGCATTGCTGTTGCTGGTGATCCAATAGATTGCACTTGTGCTGTGACACAACCACGTCAAGAGAGACCACCATGAGGACGCACCCAGCTGGCATCGCTAAGCGTTCCAAGGCATACTGCACATCTCCTCTTCTGCGGCGTCCGCTAAAAGATGCAGAAAAATACTTGCTTAGGCAAGTAGTCTCTCCTACGGATCGAAACCGGTTGGATTTGCATAAGCTTTCTTTGTCTGATCAGAACAGCCTTTTTGCACTTCGACATGTGTCCGAAAAGATCGCTCGACTTTTACCAAAATCTGTCATCAACTGCGGCAAGGGCCCCTGTGAGCCGCTTATCAGTTGAATCACGGAAGTCTTCGGCCCACGTAGCGAAACCCCGGACAATGGCAGAAAAAGGGATGGCTCTGGTGCATGTTGCCCAGAGTCTCTCAACAAGCTGATGTTCGAAGTCGTCACTTTGGAGGTCACCCACAAAGTTCCGTAGACATTCATTAAGATTAGTCATAAGGAAACGCATGTCCCGATCTATTGGCACCGGCCTCTGTTCTGTGGGCTGTGAAACATAACACTGTACCTCAAGTGTGCCACCAAGGAAATGCGGCTTGGGTACTGTTTTGCACAAACAGGGCAATATGTGCCAAGCGCAGCTTCTCCATGCATCGAAACATATCCGTTTTTTGGCTGGCATGTAAAAACCATGCCTCCTTCGATCCAAAGGACCTCTCGCATAATATACAAATGTGCTCACTGTTTTGCATATCTATGGCATGAACAATCGCATGAACCTGATCCAAAAGCTCGAAAATATCCCGGTGCCATTGATTGGCCTTGGCAAGCACCTGATGCCATTGAGCACTCCGGTAAATTGCCCTACGAACAATGCTTTTCCATTGCTGCAACCAAGAGAGAAACTGGAACAGGTCATTGTAATCAAGCACATTTGGCATACCTGCATCTCTTCTGGTCATATCAGCCAACCAGCTAAGCGCTGCTCGCATTGCCTCTTGTGCTCCAGCACCCAAACGAAAAAAATAACAAAAACCGTGGCTGGCGCAAGAGCTGTAAGGGGGCCAAAATGCCGGACCCTTGCTGCATGCAAAACGACTTGTGGCGGGATGACTTTGAGAGTGCCACAGATATCATCATGAGAAATATGCAAGTTGTTCTTGCGAAAGGCTTTTGGCAGCATGTGTGAATACAATTCCCAACAACGTGCTTCGAATACTGCGAACTCTTTGCAGCTCAAATACGGCCAAGCACCAGCTCCCCAGACAAAAGTCGACATGACTGTTGCCTGGAAGATATGCATCCGAGATTCCAGCGAAAAGCGTTCGTTACGCAGAACATCTTTAGCTGCTCGCCAGAAAGCCGATTTAGCTCGGGCTGCTCTTGCTTGAATCTCTGCAAGCATCGTTCCTTTAGCCGTTAGAACTCCTCCTAAGTGCTTGTAGGAAGGAACAAGAGGCACCAAACAGTACCTTCTTCCCGGAGCACCGGAATTGCAGCATTCTTGTCCACAAAAAGCTGCCTGCGCACATTTGACAGCCTGTGGTCCTCGCGGTGTAACCAAGGCCGCGGTCTTGGTCACTCCTATATTGGCTTCCATGCCTCTCTGTTCAAGGGCGGTAAGCAACAGATCAATTGCTATCGGCACCTTAGTGATCGTATCTCGGGCTTTGGCAAGGACAAGAGGAATTGCAATATCGTCAGCCCAAGTGACATGTGCCACCTCCTCTTGGTTTGCGAGAGGTGATGAATTCATATTACGATCCTTATACAGAGGAACATGCAGCCACAGGTCTAAGGCATTCATATGGCTGCGCAGCTGCTGGATCAGTGCGTGGAATGTCACATTAAAAATGATATCTGCCCAACTATCACCAGGTCTGGTGCCCCTTGTCGTCCTCGAAAAGTCATCCTCGAAAACAGAAAACCACGTATCCGAAATGCTTTCCCGTAGGACAGCTTGTTGGTGTTGGTTGGCACCAAGTTCCACGTATGCACTTTCTCCTTGTAGGGCCTGAGCCAAAGTATGCATCGTTTCCGGCGGGAGGCCAAGCCTACGCATGATTGCAGCGATATCCTCATCGGCATGAGAGGTTCCTACGGAGACCTCCCGTAAGACCTTGTAGTACGCAGATTTGATATCGCAGAAAATTATCGCTGAACTAGACCCTCGGGTCTTGGAAATTGCATGAAAATGCCCGATCGCCTGTGCTCCAAAAATAACTGAGAGCCCTGGCCGATTTGCCAGTTGCATGCTGTCTGCAGTCGTAAGGTATGGCTTATTGACATGCGACCTCATGGCAGAGCGCAAAATCTTCCCTGGTGTCGACATGAGGAGGATGCCTCGAAAGTTGTCGCATATGGTCGGCGGTCCCTTGCCTTTGTACAGAGTGAAAAGCTGACCACCCTTGAACTGGACCGGTTCTTCAAGCCTGACCGCAAACTTCATCGCAAGGGGCCATAGGACCTGTGCAGCAAGACCAGGCACACATCGAAAAAACTCATTTGGCAACGAGTCCGGACCTGCAGCTCTTTGTGTCCTGGTTTTACGAATGGCCTCTTCCACCTGATGCAGGGTGGGAAGATCCTGCAGCTTGAAACACATGTCCTGTCTGCCTTGTTCTTGGCGCAAGATAGCATTACGCACAAGCTGTTCAGGCGAAACAGAAGTCCCAGCTTCCAAATGCTGGAAGTGTTGAACCCAACGTGCTTGGTACTCTTTCCTATTGATCGTCTTGGTCCCATCGAGCTTTTGCACTTGCGGAAGAATTTGTGCTGGCTTATTCTTCTTCCTAGAGGGTAGGACTGGGCGCAGCTTTTGCCACATCTCATGTGCCGGGGCATCTGCTGCTTCCTTGACGACTTTTTCGAGATATGCACGTCTGTCGGTCCGAAGGCTAGATCGAAGATTTTTAGCTCCTCGCTGAATCTTCTGTCCAAGAGTCTCGGCATACAGCGTTGCCCGGAAAAACCAGGACGCCTGTTCTTCGGACCATTGCCTCCCCTTCCAAACATCAAATGCTGCCCGGAGAAAGGTCCGTGAAAGGACCTTCCGGAGCTCTTTCATAGCTCTCTTATTCGTCGTTAAATCTTTGAAGAACTGACATGTCTCCGTGGATGCAAACGACTGTGCTCGAAAGGAGCTTTTCCGTGGGAACACTTTTTCAAGCTGGACCTGAAAATGCAGTATCAACTCAGTGGCATGCTGGGTAGCATTAACCTCCCAC